TTTGTTTTTTTGAGATGGAGTCTTGCTCTGTCACCCAGGCTGGAGTGCAGTGGCTCGTTCTCAGCTGACTGCAACCTCAGCATCCTGGGTTCAAGGGATTCTCCTGCCTCAGCCTCCAGAGTAGCTGGGATTACAGGCGCCCGCCACCAAGCCCAGCTAATTTTTGTATTTTCAGTAGAGACGAGGTTTCACAGTGTTGGCCAGGCTAGTCTGGAACTCCTGACCTCAACAGATCCACCTGCCTCGGCCTCCCAAAGTGCTGATATTACAGGCGTGAGCCACCATGCCCAGTGTGTTGGGAGGTTTTTGATTACTGATTCAATGTCCTTACTAGTTATGAATCTGTTCAGATTTTCTATTTTTTTCATGATTCAGTTTTAGTAGGTTATACGTTTATAAGAATTTATCCATTTCTTCCAGGTTTTCCAATTTGTTGGTATATAATTATTCTTAGTAGTCTCTTATAATCCTTTTTATTTCCACGGCCGGGCTGCTAGCCTTGATGTGAGTATTTGCAGCAGCAGTGGTGGCAGTATGGCTTGGTGGGGGTGAGGATCCCCCACTGAGACTGTGTGCATGTCCCTGCAGGTGGTGGTTATAGTGTGGAGGTGGGAGCATTGGTGGGTGCAGGACTGTGTGTGCCCTCTGTGCACGTTCACGCTGACAGCAGTGGCTGCTCAAGGCTAGGGGGTAGTCTACTGTCTTCCATGCCTAGTTTTGCTCTGGTGGCCCAGGCTCAGGGGCAGGGTGCTGACAGTGGGGGCTGAGGGGCTCTGTGCCCACCAATGTTCTGAAGACAATGGCGGTGTGGTGGGGTGGGGGGTGCGGGGAGGAGGTGCACTCACTCCAGCAGCAGTGGCAAGACAGGGTGCAGCTGTACCATTGTGCTGGCGGGGAATAGAAGGCTAGGTCTGCCTGGGCATATATGTACCAGCATCGTGATGTGGAGGGTGGCCATGGGTGCAAACGAGCTGTTATGTGTTTTCAGAGGCCACTCTGCTGGAGCACTCTGCCAGTCAGGTGTGGTCCACCAGCTGTAATGTGGGCCCCAAGAGGCACCTGGCAGCTGTGGCCAGGCTGGGGCCCCACAGGAGGCCAGCAGACTGAGAGGTGCTCAGGTTGGACTAGTCCTGTCTCATGGGTAAGACTACCCTGCAGAGTTCAGGTCCAAAAGTTCCCCTAGGGCTAAATTATCCTATGCAAGCAATTCTAGCCTAGGGGGATGGACATCTCAGACAGTGCTCCACTACAGTTGCTCCCACGGGGCACCCTCTGTGCTCTGCCTGTGACTGGAGTTCTACCACTACCACTTCTCTAAGTAGCTTTCCCTGCCAACTCAAGTGTCCATGATGGTCTAGGGTCTCCTCTTGCTGAGATTCCAAAGGCCCACGGTGAGAGTGGGCCTGTTAAACTCATCCCCTCTGTAGGAGTCACTGGGGGCCAGGAACATGTTCCAGTGTGCACTAGCCCTAGGAGGGGTTCCTAGCTTCCTCCCCCTTCAGCCCACCCTCTGTATTTTCCTTCCTCCTGTTCTGCCTCTGCCTAAAGCAACTGGATAAGAACATGGCAGCACTGGGATGTGAACTCATTTTTGCCTAGCTCCAAAGGCCTTGCTCATTCATTCAGGCTCTCAGAAATGAAAAATAATTTCCTTCATCTTTGTTAAATCACATATTCCTACAATCAAATTCTCCAAAGCTTTTGTGAAACCTATGTGATGCTGTAATCCAATTGATTACTACAGTATTTGTGGAATATACCATTCATAGCTTTAGGCTACACAGGAACAATTATATATCAAGCTCTCTTGAATTCTCTCTCTTTCTAAAACCTATGGATTTGAAGTCAGGATGTTTTCAGAAGTCCAACTAGTGTTAAAAACCCAAATAGATCAAACATTGTTTCTGTTTATATCTGTGTGACAACTAATACCAATGTGTGTAATTACAATATGGAGAAATCCACATAGTTTCTCTGAGGAAAGTTTATTTCACTGGAAGTAGCCATTACCAAGAAGCAACAGAAACCCTAACCAGTGGCTCTTATTTTGCAATTACAGTTTTTCATCTTAAGGTTAGTATATGTGCAGCCAAAGCAAGCACTACTTTTTCATGTTAAGCAATGGCTAAGATTGTGTGTGATATAGGTGAAGGCTATCACCAGATAAACACCATCAAAAAGTTATGTTTTTATAGTGTATTTCTGTTGTGATAGTTTTCGTATCCTTCTTCCTTTACAACTCCCTCCTTCTCTTCCACAAATACAGGTTTTGTATTAATTCTGTGATGCCTGAGGCATTCGGCACTCCAATAAGTAATCCTTTAAGTCTCACCAGAATTTGAGTTTGATGATATGGTGTCCATTGTGTAGGTGAGGATACATCCTCCGTGAAGTGCAAGGTCACATAACCAAATGTGGAAAAGTAGGTCTGTCTCTTGCTGAAAGGAAGTGAACATCGAATGCTGCTGCATGAAGCCCAAGGCTTCAGTGGAGAACCTCAGAAACCAGATAACTCTGAGCCATAAGGCACGGTATTGGCCTCTCAGAAGTCATAATAAATAAGTATGGGAATTTCCCTTATTTTGAAGGCATTAATGACTTATTTCTCTAGGATACTGACGTAAGTTATTCAGTGGAAGACAACTGGAAAATGAGGGTCCTTGTCTACAGATATAAGATCTTAATAAAAGTAATCATGAAATTGACCTTGATGGGGAGAGCACTGAAACAGGATGAGCACTGAAACAGGGAGAGCACTGAAACAGGATGAGCACTGAAACATGGCCTGAGTGAAGTCCTAACAGTAGAGAGGATTATGTACAAAGACACAAGAAACACACAGAGGTAAGAAAAAGAATATTAACTGGAGTCTGGAATGCAGGAGCATGTACGTGTATGTGTATGCATGTGTGTGAGTATTTATGTACCTAGATAAGTTTAGATGAGCCTGGAGAATTAACAAGCCGTGCTTGTATTTTGCAAAAATACACTCAAGAAGAGACACGGGTTGGAAACCGTTGCAGAAATACAATAAGAGATAGTGGTGACATGAAGCTAAGTTTATGATGATGAATTTGAAGAGAAATTCTAGGCCTTGGCTTAGAAAACAACATAAAAAAAGACTTGTTTTTTTTCAGGAACACAATGCCCACAGACAAACTTCACTAGAAACAGAATTTGCACATAGACAGATGTATATATCACTGCTGACTTGGATGAAATATATGCATATATGTCCATTTACAGATGGACTCTTTCATCACTGAAAGAAAAAGTGCACTTCAGATCTACACTACAAATATATTTACCTAGAAATTTACCTATACCAGATTTTTTTTATACTTTAAATTCTTTAAGTTCTAGGGTACATGTACACAACGTGCAGGTTTGTTACATATGTATACCTGTGTCATGTTGGTGTGCTGCACCCATTAACTTGTCATTTACATTAGGTATATCTCCTAATGCTATCTCTCCCCCCTCCCTCCACCCCATGACAGGCCCCGGTGTGTGATGTTCCCCTTCCTGTGTCCAAGCGTTCTCACTGTTCAATTCCCACCTATGAGTGAGAACATGCAGTGCTTGGTTTCCTGCTCTTGCGATAGTTTGCTGAGAATGATGGTTTCCAGCTTCATCCATGTCCCTACAAAGGACATGAACTCATCCTTTTTTATGGCTGCATAGTATTCCATGGTATATATGTGCCACATTTTCTTAATCCAGTCTATCATTGATGGACATTTGGGTTGGTTCCAAGTCTTTGCTATTGTGAACAGTGCCACAATAAACATAAGTGTGCATGTGTCTTTATAGCAGCATGATTTATAATCCTTTGGGTATATACCCAGTAATGGGATGGCTGGGTCAAATGATATACCAGACAGTTTTACCTGCTATGTCTGAAAGGTAAAGCGTTGCTTAATTTATTTTTTAAACTTATGAATGCATTTTAAATTGCTATTAATGGAATGAAAATTATTTGAACTTGAACAGATATGTAAGGCTATTTGATGTTGCTTGGTAGCTTTTTCTCATACAGATCCTGTTTTGCACATGAGATTTGCCAGGGAGTTGAAGCTACCTCCAATTCTGCACATGGTTATATGATTTGGTAATAGTCTTTTGTTGTGAAGGTTTATGAACATGGTGAAATACATACGTTCTATTGAGAGATATGATAAAATGGCATAACTCAAGTTTCAACTATGATTTTGATAAATAGTTTTCAAACTTGTTTTGGGGGGTTGATGGAATCCCAAAGGGGAAGATAACAATTTTACTATTAAAAAGTGTTAACATTATTTTGGCTATAGTCTCCAATTTTTGGTTAACAAAATAATTGTCATAATAATTATTTCATTAGAATTTTCATATAAGAAGAGTTACAGAATTCTAATTTACTCAGCACATTTTGTTTGTTTGTTTGTTTGTTTTTTGAGACAGGGTCTTGCTCTGTCTCCCAGACTGCAGTGTGGTGGCATGAAGCCATCCTCCCACCTCAGCCCCCCAGGTAGCTGGAACTACACGTGCATGCCACCATGCCTGGCTAATTTTTGCATTTTTTGTAGAGACCAGGTTTCAGCATGTTGCCCAGGCTGCTCTTGAACTCCTGGGCTCAACCAATCCATCCATCTGGGCCTTCCAAAGTGGGGCGGGATTATAGGTGTGAGTCAATGCAGCTGACCCCATTTCTCTTTCTAAGATTAATTCTGCTTTTGTTTCTGGTTGTATGTATTTTTACAAGTAATTGAAATGATGACGTAATATTCACAATGCTTCAAAATGTGAAAAAAGTATATGTGAATATTAATCACATAATTGATAAAATATATGAAATAATGAAGTCAAAGCAGGTCATTAAGAAATCTTTATAAACATTAGGTAGTGAAGTTACAGATGTTGCCATCATTGTACATTCACGGGGCTAGTCATCATAAATTCTGATTGATGTTTAAAATGAGAGCAAGAAATACCCAATTAAGTAGTAAATTGAAAACCATCTAATCTTCTTCCGATGCATCTGTGACGTCTTCTTCGTACTTGTAAACTTGCATTGCACGTTGAATAGGAGTCTTAACAGAGTCATAAGTCCATCCATTCCTGGCAAACAGCCTTTGAATGATGCCAGGCATTTCGTAGCCCTTGCTTAATATAAAATCCTTAAAGGCAATTGGTCCATAAAGACCGTCAAGAATGTCGGGTTCATCAGGCTTTTCAAGTAGGAGCTTGGGGTCAATCAACGGTTCATCACTTCTTAGCTTTTGTCCCAACTTAGGCTTGAGGTACCATGCTCCATACCCCATGTTCACATGCTCCGCACTATAAGAATTCGATGCAGTGTGGATTTTCCCATCCAAGTCTTTTTTCTGTGAGAAGAATTTGACCTCATCCATGTCATCTAGCTCCATGCTGCACTCCAGCCCTGAGGAACACTCATTTACCGTCTTAATCTTTTGGTCTTGATAGTTTGCTTTGCACTCAGGGGTAAAGTCAAACAGACTGCTGATGGATTCTTCATCAACTCCCAGGTCTCCTGCCCACTTGAAGTCACGGAGTTTTCTCGATGTGTATCTATGTTGAAGAGAGTCAGAAACACACTCCGTTGTGTTTGGTGTATCTTCCTGAAACAGTTCTTTTAGATGGGATACTCCAGTCTTGGTAGTCTCCGGGCAGAGACTGGACACTCGACGAGTCTTGAGAGGCTCCAGGCGGAGACTGGACACTCGACGAGTCCTGGGAGGCTCCGGGCGGAAACTGGACACCCGACGAGTCTTGGGAGGCTCTGGGCGGAGTCTGGACACCCGATGAGTCTTGGGAGGCACCAGTGGGAGATGGGACACCCGACTCTCGAAAGGCCGCGGGTTGGATTCCCCACAAAGGTATTTACTAGGCTCGGTGGGTTCCTCGGTTGTTGTCTCCTGACCCTCGCAACGAGCCCATGTGTCTTCCGGCTTCCTCTCAGAATCCACTTTCAGGACCTGTAGTAGGAAACTGGACACCCGACCAGTGTTGGGAGTTTCCAGGCTGAGATGGGATACTCCAGTCTCGGGAGGCTCCGGGCAGAGATGAGATACGTGAGTCTCGGGAGACTCCGGACAGAGATGGGACACTCCAGTTTCAGGAGGCTCTGGGTGGAGACTGGACACCGGAGTCTTGGGAGGCTCTGGGCGGAGATGGGACGCTCCAGTCTTAGGAGGCTCCGGGCGGAGACTGGACACGGGGGTCTTGGGAGGCTCTGGGCAGAGATGAGACACTCCAGTCTCGGTAGACTCCGGGCGGAGATGAGATACGCAAATCTCTAGAGGCTCTGGGCAGAGATGGGACACTCCAGTCTCAAGAGGCTCTGGGTGGAGACTGGACACCCGAGTCTTGGGAGACTCTGGGCAGGGATGGGACACTCCATTCTCGGGAGGCTCCAGGCGGAGACTGTACATCGGAGTCTTGGGAGGCTCTGGGCGGAGATGGGACGCTCCAGTTTCAGGAGACTCTGGGCAGAGATGAGATACGCGTATCTTGGGGGGCTCCGGGCAGAGATGGGACACTCTAGTGTCTGGAGGCTCCAGGCGGAGATGAGATACGCAAGTTTCTGGAGGCTCCGGGCGGAGATGGGACACTCTAGTCTCAGGAGGCTCTGGGCGGAGACGGGACACCCGAGTCTTGGGAGGCTCTGGGCGGAGACGGGACGCTCCAGTCTCAGGAGGCTCTGGGTGGAGACGGGACACCCGAGTCTTGGGAGGCTCTGGGCGGAGATGGGACGCTCCAGTCTCAGGAGGCTCCCGGCGGAGACGGGACACCCGAGTCTTGGGAGGCTCTGGGCGGAGATGGGACGCTCCAGTCTCAGGAGGCTCTGGGTGGAGACGGGACACCCGAGTCTTGGGAGGCCCTGGGCGGAGATGGGACACTCCAGTGTCAGGAGGTTCCCGGCGGAGACTGGACACCCGAGTCTTGGGAGGCTCTGGGCGGAGATGGGACACTCCAGTCTCAGGAGGCTCCCGGCGGAGACTGGACACCCGAGTCTTGGGAGGCTCTGGGCGGAGATGGGACACTCCAGTCTCAGGAGGCTCCGGAGGGAGATGAGATACGCGAGTCTTGGGAGGCTCCGGACAGAGATGGGACACTCCAGTCTCGGGAGGCTCTGGGCGGAGACTGGACACCGGAGTCTTGGGAGGCTCTGGGCGGAGATGGGACACTCCAGTCTCAGGAGGCTCCCGGCGGAGTCTGGACACCCGAGTCTTGGGAGGCTCCGGGCGGAGACGGGACGCTCCAGTCTCGGGAGGCTCCGGGCGGAGATTAGATACGCGAGTCTTGGCAGGCTCCGGGGAGAGAAGAGACTCTCCATTTTCGGGAGGCTCTGGGCGGAGAGGAGGTACGCGAGTCTTGGGAGGCTCTGGGCGGAGATGAGACACTCCAGTCTCGGGAGGCTCCGGGTGGAGACTGGACACCCGAGTCTTGGGAGGCTCTGGGTGGAGATGGGACACTCCAGTCTCAGGAGGCTCTGGGCCATGAGATACGCGTGTCTTGGGAGGCTCCGGGCAGAGATCAGGCACTCCAGTCACAGGAGGCTCCGGGTGGAGACGAGATACGCTAGTCTTGGGAGGCTCTGGGCAGAGATGACACACTCCAGTCTCAGGAGGCTCCGGGAGGAGATGGGACACTCCAGTCTTGGGAGGCTCCAGGTGGAGACTGAACACCTGAGTCTCGGGAGGCTCTGGGCGGAGATGGGACACTCTAGTCTCAGGAGGCTCCGGGTGGAGACTAGACACCGGAGTCTCGGGAGGTTCTGGGCGGAGATGAGACACTCCGGTCTCAGGAGGCTCCGGGAGGAGATGGGATACTCCAGTCTCGGGAGGCTCCAAGTGGAGACTGGACACCTGAGTCTCAGGAGGCTCTGGGCGGAGATGGGACACTCCAGTCTCAGGAGGCTCCGGGCAGAGACTAGACACTGGAGACTTGGGAGGCTCTGGGTGGAGACAGGACACCCGAGTCTCGGGTGGCCGAGGGGAGAATTCCCTGCAGGGGTATTTACCAGGCTCCATGGGTTCGTCGGTTGTCGTCCCCTGGCCCTCACAAGCACATGCGTCCTCCAGCTTCCTCTCAGGATCCAGCGGTTTCAGCACCTGTAGTAGTAGATCTGGAGACATATCTTCTCCCAGATTGGAGTTCATGGCCAAGGGAGGCTCGGCCGTCAGCTGGGCTTCCACTCCCTCTACGAACGTCTTCCGTGCTGGCTTGGCTCGTGAGAGCTTGGAAAACAGGGCCGCTTTCTTGCGCAGCTTTTTCTTCCTGCTTTTGGGGTCAGCTTGGGGACCTCTGAGAGATATTTTGGGGAGTAAAAACTCGTCACGGCGACAGACGAGCGTATCTTCGGGAGACGGACAGCCGTAGCGGAAGTTGTCCATGCCCTGCGTCACAAATACCCGGTTCCGAGGGTCTATGGGCGGGAACCTCAGGCGCCTGTGCTTGCGCTTCGCGAAGCACTTGGAAGGCTGTTTGTCACAGTACCAGGGCTTGGAGTCCATGCCCGGGGACCTCGGCCGGTCCAGCCGCCTCTGGTCCCCCATGGTGGCCCTCGCTGGGGTGCCACCTCTCCAGTTTCCGCGGTTCCTGATCCCTGCCGCTCTAGTCGCTAGGAGACCGCCAGCCACGTGCAGCCCAGGTTCCTTCCTGGAGGCGGGGCAGCGCTGACGCCACCTGCGCAGCCTGGATTCTAACAGGTGTGTAGTGGAATCTCATTCTGGGTTTTATTTGTGTGTCCTAATGACTACTGGTATTGAACATCTCTATATTTGCTTATTTGCCATCCTTATCTCTCCTTGGTTTAAGTTTCTGTTGATTTTTTTCCCCATTTTTAAATTGTGTTGCTGGATATCATATTTAGTTTTGAAAATTCTTGTTCTGTTCTGCATCTAAGTCCATTATCACCTATATGATTTGCAAATTTTTCTCTTCATCCTTGGCTTTTCCCTTCATTGTCTTAACAGTGTCTATCAAAGAGAAGTTTTTTTTATTTGATGAAGTCCAATTTATTAATTTGTTCTTTTACAGATTGTACTTCTTTTGATGTATCTGTGAAAACTTTGCTTATCCAAAGGTCACAGAGATTTTTTAAAATTTAAATCTGTTTAAAGTTTTGTAAACAGCACACGATACAGATCAAAGTACTTTTTTTTTTTTTAAAGTGTCTATTGTCTATGTATATCTGGTAATTTCAGAACTATTTTTGTAAAGATTATATTTTCTCCACTGAATTGCCTTTGGAAATTTGTAGAATATCAGCTGTCTATATTTTTTTGTGGGTCAATTTTTTGACACTCTTTTCTCTTCCAGATTTTTCTCTCACACAAATTTCACCCTCTGTTGATTACTTTAGCTTTAAAATAAATCTAGAAATTTGGATATATTAGTTCTTTAACAATGTTCATTTACAAAGTTGCTTCTTCAAGGTCCTTTGAATTTCTACAGAAATTTTTAAAATAAGTTTGTCAATGCCTAAAAAAAATTCCGCTGGGATTTTGATTAGGATTCTGTTGAATCGGTAGATCAATTTGCAGGTAATTGACATATTAACAATAGGAGGTCTTCTGACCACTGAAAAAGGTACATTTTCCCATTTGTTTATGTGATTTTTAATTTTCTCAGGAATATTTTGTAGTTTTTAGTTCATATGTCTTTTACATTGTTTCTCCCCAGATTTTTCTAAATATTGCTTTTGATACTATTATATGTAGTATATTTAAATTGAAATTTCCAATTTTTTGATGTTAGTATATATAAATATTGAGTTTTGTATATCCATCTTGTATCATACAGCCTTGGTAAACTCTCTTATTACTTTCAGGAGCATTTTTGTAGAGTTCATTGAATTTTCTATATATATGATAATGTCTTCTGTGAATAAAGACAATTTCCCTTCTTTCTTTCCAAACTGAGTATCTTCATCCCCTCTGCTCAGCCCAGTTGCAATCCTTGATTTTCCTTTGAATAATATTAGTGAAATTTTTATCTCTCTTATGGTGTTTAAAACTATAACTATGAAAAAGATTTTTTATAAAAAATTTAATTTTAGACAAATTCAGCTTGCATTATTCCTTAAGCATATTATTTTCTCATCACATGGTAATTTTTTTCTGTACATTCTTATCCATTTTTAAAAGAAATTTTCTTATTTCCCTTGTTAAGTGCAGCTGAAAATGTTTTCTACCATTACTAACAGGTATGCCTTAGTTCCTCCTTGTAAATAAGGCATGATCAATACCTCTCTTCCCTGTGGCTCCTCCTCTGTAAAATAGACCAATATATATTCCTCTTAGGTTTCTCATTAATGCAAAAAATGGTTTATGTGTAAATCAAGATAATCTATATAACATATATTTTTGTTTTGATTTTGTATCATGTTTGGCGCAGAATAAGCATCCAGTAAAGTATTGTTATTTTATACAGGATTACTACAACTTGAAAATAAAAATATTCTACATTCAGTGCCTAAATAAAGGAGAAGCAGAAATCATACAGATCTATTTATATGTCACAAATATTTTCATTTATCAGTTATAAGAATCTGTTAAACTCTCAACATATTTAGTAGATTTCATAATGCGAAGTTGCTAAGACCATTTTGGTATGGATTTATTTTTAACTTTTTCACTTGGAAAAATTCCATGGAATGTATGTTAAATTCAAGAGCCAATATTTCAACAATTCTCTATAACAGTACTCTAACTAGTAAGCTCATATGAGTTCTCATTTATCTAAAGTGGGTGAGGGTTTGAATAAATCTTCTATATTCTAAATAATCCCAGAGAAAAACACACATTGAAGCTCCTAAAGGTCAACTGGGCATCTCCAAAATTTTTCATGTGGCTGTTCATTAAAAGTTTTTGTACTTTACAGCCACTTCATTTTTTTCATTTTTCAAAGTAGAATATTATACAAAAGATTCATATCCAGAATACATAAATAATTATTAAAACTTAACAGTAAGACAACAGATAACACAAAACAAAATGTATAATACATAGTAGTAGCTTAACTTGTATAGAGATACATAGTTAAAGAAATAAATATAGTTGTGTGCACATATTGGTTAGTGTACATGCATATATTTTATAGCTCTGTCTGCTGAGAAACTAGAAAAAAATGACATCCAAGTAGCGAAAAGTACATCCACTGCCCAGATCTTGGTTTCTAAATACAATTATCCAAAATAACAAAAGCAAAATGAGACATCCTTCGAGAAATGAGTAATTCTAGGCCTGCGGCAGTGAAAACATAAGATGAGCCTGGAGTATTATGTGATGACAGAAAATAGGAAGTTCTCAGATAACAAAAGAATAAAAGCAGATCAGGAGCCAAACTGAAAGAGCACTCAATGGCCAAAGTTAAAACAATTTAAGCAATATGAGAATTAAAATTTTAAAATTATAACACAATATAAAATAAAATATCCATGAGTCCATATTGATACAAATGATTGTACAAATAAATAATGACAAAAAAAGTGCAAATCTGTCTTATGAAGAATTTCAAAAAATATACATAGATACTCCTCCCTCCAGGAGGTGGAATTTAAATGCCCTCCCCAGAGTGTGGGCTGGATTCTAAAAAACAGAATATGGATAGGGAAAAATAGTGACCTTTTAGTGGAGAAGCCTGGCAGTTCTCTCCTTAATCAAGTGATGAATGTTAATATCAGCAGTGAGACGTCACATTGGTATCATGCACTACTCTGATAGGATGTGATGAGAAAGACACTTTACCTCTGTAGTATTCTTCTCTAAATTCCAGAATCCTAGTCTACTGAGGAGAAAACATCTAACAAACCCAAGTCCAGAGACATCTTACAAAATTCTCAAGTGTTCCTCAAAATCATAAAGGTCATGGGAAACAATTAAAGGCAGAGAACTGGACATAGACTTTAGATTAAAGAGACATGAAAACTAAATTCAATGTGGTAGGCCGAGCTGTATCCTGACACTGAAGAGGACATAGGTATAAAAAAATCTACAAATCTGAATAAAGTCTGAAGTTTAGTTAATAGTAATATGTCAATGTTAATTTTTTAGTTTAAATGCATGTACCATGTAAGATATTCATTTTAGGGGAAGCTGGGTAAAATGTGCATGAAAATGCTCTGTACAGTCTTTGCAATTGGTTCATAAATCAAAAATTATTCTAAAATAAAAGATTTCCAATTTAAACTATATATTGCATCATGATAAATGATCAGCAAATCACTACTAACCATATAAGAGGGAAAGCTGTAGCTTCTTTAAAATGCATACTTGTGGCCCCTCTGTCCCCATATATAGTAAATCATAATTTTTTCGAAGTGGAGCCAGTCATCTACATTTTACATGGTCTCTAAATTATACACACCAATAGGTGAAAATTACTTTTCTAAAGCCCTGTGCCTTTTATAGGCCCCGAAGACTTTCAAAGAGTTTAAAAACCACAGTAGTTATGGTATTATCCAAAGTCACCAAATTTGGAGAAAATTAAATTTCAGCAAGTGCTATATGGGAATGTAAAAATCAGATAGTGGAGCCCGTGGACAAAATAATTCACTTAGATGACATGTACATAACTGGTGGGCCCACAGGATAATGAAGTCATGATAGAAGAGTAAAGAAGATACAAAGTTTGGTGAGTACCTGACTGGCAGTGAAAAAAAAAACTAGGAGTGAAAGCAACTTACTTGTGTAAACAGCACTTCTTGGGTTAAAGAAAACTGACATCACTATAGAGTACAGAGAAATTACAACTGGCCTGTTCAATCAACAAGCAACAACCGCCTTAGTATGAAGTGTTACTCCAGAAATGAATAATGCAGCTGACAAGCAAAACCAACACCAACAAGCTAATAAATAAATGTTCAAGGAAGTCAAAATGCTCTGAGTAGAGCAGCATATAATGAATAAGTATACAAGGAAATTAAAATAAACAATGAAAATCCATGTGATGAAGTGCATTGGTTTAATGGAGCCTTAAGTAGTCCCAGTTCTGACATCTTTGTGTGCCTCTGACTGCTCTTAGTTAGTTACAACCTTTACTGCAGACTTAACTCAGGACACAATTTTCACCCTCCAGCAGACTCACATTATCTGCAGCCTTGCTGCCTCTTCCACCCACATGCGGCACCTGCCAGCCTTTTTCAGATACCCAATCATTTTCATTCTGATCCAACCCACTTTGGAATTCTTTTGCTTTTATTAGCTCTTGGTAAGTTTACTTTCTGGGATGGTTAATTTTCTGTGTCAACTTGGCTAGGCTATGGTGCCCAATTATTCGGTCAAACAGTCTAGATGTTGCTGTGGAGAGATTTTTAAGTTGTCATTTAACATTTTATATCAGTAGACTTTGAGTAAATCAGATTTACCTTCCATAGGATGGGTGAGCATCATCCAATCAGTTGAAGGCCTTCAAGAAAAAGACAGAAGTTCCCCCTAGAAGACGGATCTGTTTCAGTTTCCAGCCATTAGAATCAAGACTACAACATCAACTTTTGCCTGAATTTCTAACCTGCAACCAGGTCTGCAGATTTTGGATTTGCCCACCCCCACAG